TTATGACATGATCAATTTGTAAAGGGAATGGTCAAAATAAATCCTTTTCTCCTAATAGCAACATACCTCGAACAGAGAGAGAAATAACAACCACCTCAAGAAGAGGGGAGGGGGACAAGGAGAGGGAGGGAGAGAGGGGGGGGGGGGGTAAGCGAGCATAAGGGCATGTGAGAGGTGAGGGAATTAGAAGGGACCGATATCTGAGAGGGGGAGGTCTGAGAGAGGGAAATCTGAAAGGGAGAGATATGCTAGGGGAGAGAAAGAGGGAGGAGGAGAGTTGAAAGAGGACTTAAGGTGTATTTCAATTATGAGATTGGTGAAAGTATATTGGAAGTAAGTTGGATGCATTTCAAATATAATGTAATGATAATGTTTAAATTAATTTTAATCTCATTCACTCTTACTTATTTGCTGCCTAGCCAGAGAGGTGAAACTATGCTAGCTGGAGAATGCACAAGAAGTGGTAGGGACGAAGTGCAGTGGTGCAAAAGTATTAAGGGAACTTGTATTAATGTTAGGTAGAAAGGTTTGGTACATATGTTTTGCGTTTTGATTTGACCTTCAATTGGGTAGAATTGTGAACTTATTTTAGAATTCATGGCATGACCTTTTTTGCTCCAAAAGTTTGTTTTTTGCCTATAAAACTGTGGCAGTACGTGTCGGTAAACATGTGATTTTATATGTACGGTTGTGTGGTGGTGGTGTAATTGAATAACCATATTTGCACCCTTCATTTACGTGTAAAACCATGCCTTTTTTCAGACCTAATTTATTTAGTTGTGTCGTTCTTCATTTAGTTGTAAACGTGATTACCTAATTCATTGTCATTGAAATTAACCACACTCCTTCATTGGGTTTAATGCACCAAACCCCTCTGTGATTTGGAAATTCGGCGCATTAGCGCCCTGTGATTTAAAAAATGCGTCAAACCCCCCTGTGTTTTAATTAATCATGCGCCAAATCCCTTATGTGAACAAATTCAATTGTCAAATAAAAGAAAAATGATTAGCATTTTTGTATGATTCAGAGATTTTGACATATTTATTTGCATATTCAATCAAAATATTAGGAAAAGTGATTTTCAAATCGTTAAATTTATTCATAAAGGGGGTTCTGTGCATGATTAATTAAAACACAAGGGTGTTTGACGCATTTTTTAAATCACAGGGGGCTAATGCGCTGAATTTCCAAATCACAGGGGGGTTTGGTGCATTAAACCCCTCCTTCATTGTACCATACTTAAAACACAATACAGAATTTCACAAATCCTCCTTAAATGACATCCACAATAGAAAAGGAACTCTTATTAAATTATCCAAATATTCCAGGTAAAAGCTGGTTCCAGTAAAACACGTTGATATGTTCTATTTAGTAATGCATAAACACCACATTTTAGAATGATTTTACATTGTGTTTACTTACCTTTTGTACAATTATGGTGTAATCTTTATCTTCTAAAATAAGACTAAAATTAGAAGATATTGAGAAATTTGATGTATAAGCAAGAAACATGATGGAAAAACAAGAGCACATCACTTCAAAGCCTAAGGAAGGAGCTTGAAGACAAAAAGATGCTTCATGGGAGACAAAGAAAGAAGATAAATCCGATTTGGTCTCACACCCGGTCAGGTATATCTTATACCGATCGAGTATAATTTGACCCAGAGATCATATGAGATCAAACAAAAAAAGAGACCATGGGAAATCTAATTTGGTAGAAAACCCGGGCGGGTTTAGTCAAAACCCGATATGGTTTACTTAAATTTCAACACTTTTCTGGCTACTGCCAAAGATACCCGGTCAGTTATCTGACGCAACCACCTCATTGCTCCTATAAATGCACAAGAACTTACTATGGTCGTGAGTTTTGGTGAGCCGCTGCAATAATTTTTTCTCTTTGGAGTCTTGATATGGGTGGAGAAAAAGAGTAATACAATAGTAATATTGAAATGTATTATGACTTTAAATAGCTAATTTATTGAATCTAATGACTTTTAAACAATTAACGAACATATAAGGTATAATAACTTTGTAAGCAATATAAATAGTAATGAGAAGCTAGACATTATGCCTCCGTTGTAGCATTCCATTAGGCTTCAGTTTAATGGTGCATTTTTTTTAATAAAATACGTATCAATACTTACGGTACGTGTATTATACATTTTATCCTTAAAGTATGTAAATTTTTCAGAATTTTCTGAAAAATTTATAAAGAAGAGTATTTTACGTGAATTATTCGTTTGAGTGTATTATACGTGAATAAACTAACAAAAATTTTGAGGCACATAATAAATTTAGTGCTGTCATACATAAAATGTAAAACACATTAATAAAACCATACAAACTATAAAGTTTAATCTACCATTACAAACCACCTTTCCTATCAATGAGGTAAGCAATGGTTGCAAACATTCTCCTCTCCTTCATCTCATTTTCAATGATACTTCGTACACAACCAACATTTTGGTTTACATCCCTTAACTGCCAGCAATTGCTCGCAACATCATCTTTGAATCATCTCTAATTCTATTGTTGTTTTGAGCAACTGTCTGTACCTCACCTTTTGTTTGTAGACCATCCTTCCATTAAAAAAACCTCACCCATCAACCTATAAACCATAATATAGCCAATGGTGGACCTAGTGGGGGGGGGGGGGGGCAAGTAGGGGATGTGCCCCCCACCAAATAAAAATATCAACTACTAGTATTACGTATAAATAAATTTAAAAATATTACTATATCGAATTTTTAAAATGTCCGTTGCCTTACTTGTAATAAGATAAATCATTACAACACTACTCTACTGTCTGTACTCGATATATACTTTTACTTAAAAGTCAAGGCTAACTGCAACCCAGTTCGTCAATGAATCTAATCTCAATCCAGTTTATATATATTCACTCAGTCAATTCAATTTTTCTCTGCAACCCATCACCGTCAATATATTCACTCAAAACATTTTTTCAATTAAATCCTTACTTTTATTATTATACTTTATTCTTTTGCCAATTCTTTTTAATGAATAATTATTATTTAAAAATTCAAACATTTCGATGCAAAAATAAATAAATTTTAAGTTTAATTTTTTTTCTTATAACTTCAGACCTATTTTATAAAAAAAATTATAGATGTAAAAATGTTTCATCTAAATTTTAGGTTTCGGGTATGTTTAAGAAAAATAGTCCATGAACATTTCTAATAATTGAAATTTCATATTTTTTTAAGCTTTATATATGGAATACTGAAGGCATATGAAAGATCATAAAAAGTTATGAATATTGATATATTTTTTTGTAAAATACAGATAAAAAATAAAAAAAGTTATGATAGTTTAAAATAAATTGAAATTTTTGTTTTAAATGGGGCATACCTTTATTCTTTGTTGCACGTCAACCCATGCTTGCGAAATCCTCTCTCTTGGAGTGAACAAGGGCCGTAGCTCCTGACCCCTTAGGTTTCCCCAATCCACTCTAGGACCCTCTAATACAAAAAATGACTTGGGTTGCACCATATTTGGAGTGAAAACCTTATTATTAGGAAATTCACCCCTCCTCATTGCGAACAACCTAACAACATTAAATTTGCTTCTAAAAGTGTGGTTATTTAGAATTCAATTCATTTATTGTTTAGAAAGTGCATTTATACGTTTGTGTGAACATGTGTGAAGGTGTGAAAAAACATGAACATCCAGCTTTTTTACTTCTAGACTTCCTCTATTTGATTCAACTTTGGATATGCGAAAGTGTTGAACAATCTAGGATTTATATGTTTATATTTGATGTTTTTGAAGCTATGTGTGCTAACACTGTTAAGGTACATCATATTGACTTTATATCTAGTATTATATTTGTGTGTGAGTTTGTAAAAAGGTGATGATTATTTTTATGTTTATGTTTTCCTGTGTCCGCCGTTGAAAATAGCACAACTAATTACACAAATGTAATGTATAGATCTAACAGATGTGATGTAATACATATTCAAAATATAAACTAAAACAACGAAATCATCTAATTACCTTTCATTTTTTACAGACATAAAAATTTCTCTCACTCTCTCACCCAACACACAGGGGAGTTTAGTCCGCACCAACAATAAACCGGAGGCTCATAATTCAAAGTACAACTTCGTTCTTTTCTTCTTGTTGATGTGATGAAGGACTAGGTGACTTGGGGCGGATACATAAATGGGGATAAGTTCGGCCTCCACATGTGTTTCCAACTCATTAAATACACAAATAAATATGTATTAACCGACCTCATTGCGCGTCTAGGTCAGCGGCACATGGGTAACTGGAGGAATACCGGCTACTAGCTAGGCCAGGTTGAGTGTTTTTTTTAAATTAATAGACTTGATTGGGAGATTTAGGAGTACAAGGGCTTAATAGAGGATTTGATATTGTAAAAAGACCTATTTGACAGTTTTCACAAAAAAATACTCCCTCCGTACTTTAAAAGTTCTCTACACTTTCCTTTTTGGGATGTATTTAAAAGTTCACTATACTTTCATTTTTGGAAAGTTTATCCTTTATAAAATACCCAACTACTCTTATTTTATCTACTTTTTATCTTCTCTTTCATACTTTTACACTTTCTCTCCTACTTTTTCTACACTATTCACTACCCTTACTATTGTACGTATTATTCTAAAATATTGTGCCAAAAGTAAATAAGAAGGGAGTACAATTTTAGAAGAAATAATTACATAAATATGATCAAAATAAAGATGGTTTACCAAAATATGACTAGTTACTAGAGTAGTAATGAAATCATAGTAATTCATGTTCAAATTTTGAACTTAAGTTACCACAACACTACGTTGTAGTAATGAATAGTCATATTTGTGTAAATAAGTTTTATTTTAGTAATATTCTCGTAAAAAAACCCTAATTTTTTGAAGTAAAACCCCCATTTTAGAAGATAAAAAAATTACTTTTCTATACTCCGTATTTTTTGAAGTATTCACGCACTGTGTATGTATTCTTAATTATTGCACCGTGAACTGCTTCGTAGTATTTTTTTTTCAAACAGTGTTATAACTGTGTAAGCACCCACCGTTCTTGTATTCATTCTTGGATGCGCAAGCACCCACAGTTGTTGTATTCTTCATTCTTAGACATATATGTCTACAAATCTGGGCTGCGATCAATGACTCCATCCTCCAAATTTTGCAATACGAAAATGGGGTACTGTCTCTTTCAATACTCTTCTTGCATTTCATCTTATTTTTTCACACTTGAACCTTTGCTGTTATCTTTTGGTGGTAGTCAGTCGGTGAAAGGGTGGTTTTTAAAGAATGAAATGAAAAAAAGAAGACAACCGTACAAATTTGAAGAAAGGGTTGAAATGGGTTGCCTCTGATCTAGGGCACACAACTTGTATGTGAATCAAAAGAAAGGGTTACCCCCTTTTCTTGTGATTCTCTGAACTTGGATGTGCCTTTCCGAGGTTCTTTCACATGACGTTATTTTCCTTTGTCTTTTTGTTGGACATGATTTCTGAATATATGCTCTTCTAGTGAAATTTTATGATCCTCTGGGCTTTGTTTCATTCGCGCTCTATTACGGAGTATTTGCTTGTGGGTAAAGAAGGGTCTTAAGAATTTATTTCTATTGAGTTTAATTTACTTGTACACAGTTCTTCCACGATTGTTTGTTGATGTTTTTGGGGGTGACCAGATCTGGCTCACAGTTTGGGTAGCATACGGAGATTTGGGGGCTTTTATGATTTTGTTGTTAGATATCTGATCTCCGCACTATGGAAAATGTGGTGTGGATGGCATTGGTTTTTGCGCCAGGATTATTAACCTTGGTAATTAAGGGAGTAGGCGAGGTAGTTTAACCATGAAAGGTTCTCTTCTTCTAGAGGTTAACTTTCATTACTACTCCTTGAATAGTGATTTTGATGGACAAGATGTATCAAGCTGTTGTGGTTCCATTTAATTTAGGCAACTTCGTCTCTGATAACCAAATCCACATGGATGTCACTAACCTAAATGTGATTAGCTATTCTGAGAGTGAGCTTAATGTCACAATTTCGAGTACTGCCCGGGAGAGTGAGGATGATGATCTGATTATTGACTCATCATGTTCCGTATCCGTGGGGAGTGATTCTATTAGCATATGCAATGATGATTTGTTAGCTGAGTTGGCTTGTGCTGAAGGGTCCTGCCCTAAACCAACCGTTGTTCACCATCAACCACCCACCATTCATAAAGATTCTTTGGGTGGAATCGTGAGCAGGAGTGTTTTTGAAGTGGATTATGTGCCGCTTTGGGGGTATGCGTCTGTGTGTGGAAGGAGGGCAGAAATGGAAGATGCGGTTTCAACTGTGCCGAGCTTCTTTAAGGTTCCTCTGGAGATGCTAATCGGCAATCCTCTGCCAGATGGAATGAAAGGGCATTTGAGTCATTTGACTGCTCATTTCTTTGGAGTCTATGATGGTCATGGTGGCTCTCAGGTTAGATTGATCTCTTTCCCACTCTCTCGTTCACATGAACATTGCTTCAGGGTTAGTACCTAAGTTATGCAATAAGGGATGGTTTTAGGAGAAGATAAAAGTAAGGGACTAAAAAGGAAATTTACCCTCAAGGAAAAGTATAATTTCCCTATGGGAAATTTACGTTTTATATTACCTTTTTTGTTACGAAAAAGGAAGTTTACCCTTTTACTGTGAGTGCCGTTATTTTAGGAAAAGTAGTACTATTTTGGCACCTCAGTTGTGGAACTTTAGTGCTTTTAGACCATTTGGAGTGGTGTGGAGTCCAAAATGTCAAAAATGGACTCCGTCCAAATGAAAACAGTATTTTGACTCTTATTTCTTACATCCCAGCACCGTCAATAAAATGCACTCTGCGTTTTTTTACATATCAATTTAGTAAAACATTAATTAAATTATTATACGTAATATTTTCCTTTTAATTCCCCCCTGGATAATTACAAAATAAAAAAATACACATTTCGATGTAAAAATAAATAAATTTCATTAATTTTGTTTTATATTTTTCGATTAACAAAAATGAACTTAGTTCAAGTAAAGTTCGATTATGGAATATTAAGTTATTTTTGAAGTTCTATGAATTAAAAATTTGTGTTTCGTGTGATTTTGAGCTCAAGAAAACTTTAACAATTAAATCTTTAGATTCTTTTTTCATTATTATATATTACATATTGGTGTCATTTGAAAGATCATAAAAATTAATAAATTTTGATATGTTTTAAGAAACAATTGGATAAAAAATAAAAAAGTTATAAGGGTTATAAAAAAATTATGATTTAATACATAAACAAATGACATCACCCCCATTATCTTTCTCCCTATTTTTACTTCTGCGCAATGCAGCTCCTCCGCCCCCACTCCCTTTCTTATTTTCTTTTTCCTTTGTTGGGTGTCAATCCTTCCTCCAAATTTAGAACCCTTCATCCACTTACCCATTTTTACTACCCTCTTTAGCCCACCAATGTATGGAATTAGGAGTCCAAAAATGTCATCTTTAACATTTTGGACTCCTAATACCTCACCACTCCAACTAGTCTTAGTCCATCTTTGTTAATTGTTGCAAAATCATCTCTACTTTAACCCTTTAGTGGCAGTTTTAGTCCCCCGAATAGCCACCATGGGACAAAGGGTACAAACCGGTGATGGTTTTTGCATAAAATTAACAATGAGGGAGTAAAAATGCTTCAACTGTATAAGTGAAGGACTAAAAGGAAATATACCATTCTTTTAACAAATAAATCGTACTTGGTCCCATTTAACAACATCCAAACCAGGGTCCCAAAAAATATTTCATGAACTATAAATCAAAACCAAGTCTTTGTAAAACAGCCCTTGATAGCTAAAATATGTAAACGTTTCTTTTTCAGGTTGCAAAGTACTGTCGTGATCGGATTCACACTGCACTGGAAGAAGAGCTATGTAATGAACTAAGAAAAGAAAATGTTGAAAATACTCAAGCATTATGGAGAAGGGCATTTGGCAATTGTTTTGTGAAGGTTGATGCTGAAGTTGGGGGGCAGGGAAGTGTTGAGCCAGTTGCTCCAGAAACAGTGGGGTCTACGGCTGTTGTTGCCATCGTTTGTTCATCTCACATAATCGTGGCAAACTGTGGCGATTCAAGAGCGGTTCTCTGTCGTGGGAAAGAACCAATGGCGTTATCCGTGGATCATAAAGTATGACAAATCAAATTTGACTTCCTTTCCCTATATAATGGTTTTAATGGTTTTTCTTTTCCCTATAGCCCAACAGAGAGGATGAATGTGAACGGATTGAAGCAGCTGGGGGGAAAGTTATACTGTGGAATGGGCATCGAGTCTTTGGCGTTCTTGCAATGTCAAGGTCCATAGGTATGTACAACTTTATCTTGCAAATTATATGCTGTTCACTTTGTACATGACAATTTTTAGGTTTTAAATTGATTGCCCCTCAAGGGTTTGTTTAGCAATTAGGATTTGAACTGACCTACAAGGCAAGAAGGTTTCTTAAAAATATTAATAAACCCTTTGACTAGTCATATATTCCACAAATGACTCAACATCAAAAGGCTATATAATATAAGGATATTAACAAGAACCTCACTTTTTAGTTATAGCTTTCTCTGAAAAGAAAATTTTGTTGGAGAAGTAAAGAGGGAGGGTAACTTGGTACTCTTCTGTCCCTATATCTTCTGTTATTTTATGGGAGAAGTACATCAATTATTTGTGGGAGAAGTATAGAGGGAGGGTAACTAAGTATTCCTTTGTCCGTAGTCCATACTACTCTGGTTACTATTCATGTAGCTAGAGTAAGTCATTCTTTTTCTCTCTTGTTTCTAAAAAAGTTATCATATTTGAATTCGGCTTTTACAACTCAATAGGACTTTTAGTGTAGTTTCCAAATCTTTTATTTTAGTTATTATTACTAATTTAAATATTAGTATGGGAGATCTAACTTTAACATCGATCAAACGCTGTAACCTGAAATATGACAAACAAATTGGGACTTATGTAGTATGGAATAACCAAACATACCCTTAGGGTATGTTTGGTAAATGGCTTATCAGCCGGCTTTTAGCTTGTTTGACCCATTTCAGCTATTTGATTGGTCAAAGAAGCTAATAATGATGTTTGGTAAATGGCTTTTAAAATTAGCTTGTTGAGTTTGAAAAGCTGAAAAAATGGATTGTTGAAGAAGCTAAGGGGAGCAGCTTCTTCATTCGGCTAGTTCAATTTACACTCTATCAGCCATTTTGAAACAACCAATTTTACCAAACAGTTATCTATAATCAGCTAACATAACCAGCCGGTCAAAACAGCTAACACAACCAGCTGTTAGGAAACAACTGACACAACCAGCTAACAACAACAGCTAACAGCCATTTGCCAAACATACCCTAATTTGCTAGGAATTTTATTATATCATACATCACATTTCAGTTAGGCATGCAGAAAATCTGACCAATAGATTGTAATTTGGCCAAACCTCTGACCAAAAGATTGTAATGTAGGTACAGGTTTTGCCTTTAGGTTCATGGAATCCGTTTTTTACACAATGTCTACTTTGTCATAAAATTAAAATAACAGGAAAAGTGAAATAAATATGAAAGGGCAACTTAGTCATTTTGGTGTATCTTACTTTGTTTAATTGCCAAATGTATACTTGCTTTGTCAATAAAGTCCTGCTAAGTAATGAACCATTGTTTGAAAAATGATGGAAACATCAAGTTGCATATGTCACCATTCACCAACATTTATGTACATATATGTCATATGTGTGTATTAAAATGGTCATTGATGACAACAGGAGACAGATATTTGAAACCTTGGATCATTCCAGATCCCGAGGTGTTGGTTGTTCCAAGAACAAAGGACGATGACTGCCTTGTTCTTGCCAGTGACGGATTGTGGGATGTGATGACGAACGGAGAAGTCTGTGATTTGGCCCGAAAGCGCATTCTCCAATGGCACAAGAAGAATGGTGGAGGCAGTGGTGAGAGGGGCGAGGGCATGGACCCCGCATCTCAAGCTGCAGCGGAGTACCTATCCACCCGTGCCCTTCAGAAGGGAAGCAAGGACAATATAACTGTGATTGTGGTGGACTTGAAAGCTCAAAGAAAGTTTAAGAACAAAACCTAACCCTGTCCTCATAGTATAAAAACTTCACAAGAGACAGCAGCATATAAGAACACCCCCTGTAGGTATTACTGCTATTACGTGTTAAGGGCACCTCTTTTATAGATTTTTTGTGTGTATTTTATTTTTTATTTGAAACTTTATTTAGGTACTTAGTAAAATTGGAAGGCATTCGTAAATGTGGTGCTTTAGGGGAGAAATTTACACACAATGTGGTTAGTAACTGATTAAATGTAAAAAGGGTTATTATCATGCCTCCGAATTGTGGAAGGCTTTGGAAGATGGTGTGCTCTTTCATTCAGTAAATATATTTATGAAATGAAATTCATAGTATGGGTTTTGCCTTGTTGATGAAGGGCTCGATGAGTACGTCCTGCACCTAGGGATGGACTCGGGCCAGTTCAGGCCTGGGCCCGGCAGGGCATCGGGTCTGTTTTGTTGGGCCCGAGCCCGAACCGGTGGCCACCGGTTCCGGGTCCGGTTCCAAGCCGGACCGGGCCACCCGGTTAGTTTTTTTTTTTCCTTTTCTTTTCTCCCCCCCCCCCTCACCCCCCACCCCCCCAAACCCCCCAAACCGGTCCTAAACATCAAGCCCAACTCAATAAAGCCCAAAAAAATGAAAAAAAAAAAACAAAAAAAAAAAACAGTTTTTGGCCCGGACCCGGGCCCGACCCGGCCGGGCCGGTTCACCAAAAATTGTAACCGAGCCTGGAGCCGCCCATGCCCCCGGGCCTAGGCCCGAACCGGACCCGGAACCGGAAAACCGGGCCGGTCCGGTCCCGCACAGTAGCGGGCCGGGCCGGTCTCGGGCCGGGCGGCCCGAACCGGGGCCATACCTACCTGCACCTCAGGTGGCAGGTGCCAGTGTTGATTCGACCGCCCCCTCTGGAAGCATGTGAGATTTAAGGTACGGAGTATATTTTTGCCAAGTGCAGGAATTTGCTGCATCAGTTGAAAAAAGAATGCACTTGATGAGTCTTAAAGTTCATAGCTTAACGTTTGTTATCTTTGCTTCGTAACAATTCAACCAAGGGAGGGTCTTTGAAACTGAAAACCGAATCAATTACCCGAACTGCAAGCAAACAAACTGTATCATGAGAAAACCGAAACTGAACTCGAAAACTAAATCGAATTGTAGTTGTTTGGTTCCGTTTTGCTTTTCACGAATTGAACCGAACAAACTGAACTTTAAAAAATATGCTATTTTCTTTGATAATCATTAATTATATACTCTCTCCGTCCCACTGATCTTCCTGCTTTCCTTTTTTAATCGTCCCAAAATGATCTTCTCATTTCCCTAAATGAAAAATTATCTTACATCAAAACAGTGCAAAACAGTGTCAAACAGTGCCAAACAGTGTTGAAACAGTGTACTATACAGTAAAGTAAAATTTATTTCCTAAATACTCTCTCCTTCCCTTAAAACTTTGTCAACTTTCCTTTTTTGGATGTCCCACTAACTTTGCCACTTTCTCTTTTAAGTAAAGAATTTGAGATTTTAGTTAATTCTCCCTCCTCTGCACAAACCTCTATCACACAGTTTTTACTTTATTAATCTTCGTGCCGGTCAAACATGGCAAAGTTTTAAGGGATGGAGGTAGTATGTGTGTAGGTCAAAGTAGGAAGTTCTTAGCGAGACAGAGGTAGTAATTGGATAGGTGATGTTTACTCAATTAAAATACGCTCAATGAGAATATAAATATTATCAGCAGTGTGACGATCATTGAATTCACGAAAAGCAAGAACACGTTTATGCATATTCCAATCATCATCAATATAATGTGCAGTAAGACCCAAATAATATAAATGATGATAAGTATCCTCCCATATATCGCTAAAAATACTAACACGTCCATCAAAGTTTGAAATAAATGTTTGTAATTTTTCTTTTTCCAAGTTATATTATTGCCTTATAACTTCTTTTTTAATCGTTTTGCGACTATAATATCTAAATTGAGGATTTAAAGTACCTTGAGCATAATCTCTTAAAGCAAGACTTTGGGAAAAAATATAGGGTAAATTTTCTTCAACAATTAAATAAGACATACCAGTCAAATGTTTTTGATCATCACAGGAGAAATTACCAAAGGGTTGAGAATTTGCAAACCTTGATATTTGTGTTTGCTTCCCCTTGCCTTTGTCTATTTTCGCATACTCCACAAAGTGTGCGGACTTAAGATGCCTTGTCAGACTTCCATATCCGCCAGAAGTTCCCAAGCTATACTCTTTGTTGCAATGATTGCAACTTGCGTATCATTTATCAGTATTTTTGTCTTTCCTTTTTGTGAAATTGTTTTCAATAATAGGAGATTTAGATTTCTTACCGATTTGGGATGAAACCCCCTCGTCCTCCAACTCTTGCTCATCATCCGGGGTGCCGTCGCCCCCCCCCCCCCCCCCTCGTCCTCCTCCACATCCTCATCCTTGAGCTCATCTTCGTCAATGGTTGTCGCGAATTGTTTTTCAGTTGTTCTTGTGCAAAGCGTGGATCATTTTGGGACAATAGGTTTTGTAGTTGCTCGTCGGACATCGCCATACCATCTCTCTGTTGGTAATCCGTTTCAAAATCATCTCGACTTTGAAAAGAAGACTCAGCCCGCGCTTTACCTTTGCTTTTGCGTGAAGTAGGACGAGTCGCCGCAATCTCCCTCTTGCGGTTGCGTTGGAGATTACTCATATCTACAGAATATCAAATATTTTATATGAGTACAATAGTAATAATAAAATGTGACTAAGAAAACTATAGCAAATTCGAACTAAAATATGAGTATATCAAATGTAACAATTTTTTTTCCTTGAAAAAAATCGAACTACTTCTAATTAATACTTTAATAACAAATGTACCAATTAACTAATATTAATATGAGAAATGTAACAATTAACTAGTTTTTTTTACTTTAATGAGAAATTTACCAATTAACTAATATTAATATGACAAATGTAAAAATTAACTAGTTTTTTTACTTTAATGAGAAATGTACCAATTAACTAATATTAATATGACAAATGTAACAATTAACTAGTTTTTTTTACTTTAATGAGAAATGTACCAATTAAGTAATATTAATATGACAAATGTAACAATTAACTAGTTTTTTTTTCTTTAATGAGAAATGTACCAATTAACTAATATTAATATGAGAAATGTACCAATTAACTAGTTTTTTTTACTTTAATGAGAAATGTACCAATTAACTAATATTAATATGAAAAATGTAGCAATTAACTAGTTTTTTTTCTTTAATGAGAAATGTACCAAATAACTAATATTAATATGAAAAATGTAACAATTAACTAGTTTTTATTTTACTTTAATGAGAAATGTACCAATTAACTAATAGGAAAATGAGAAATGTAACAATTAACTACTTTTTCTAGTTTAAATATAAATGTAGAAAAATGAACTAATATAAATATGAGATATATAACATGTAACTAATTTTTTTTCTTTAAAGAGAAATGTAGAAAAATGTAACAATTAACTAATTTAATAGATAAATGAGAAGTCTAACAATTAACTACTTTTATAAAATGTATGAATGTGTATAAGTATATATAGTTTATATAATGTGTAAATGTATTATAAGTAATATATAATATAATGTTTATAGTATATAATATATAAGTATATTACTATAAGATGAGTAATACACTTATACTTAATACTTTAATATATATATATATATATATATTAACTAAATGTAATATGTAAATATAAGTAAATAACAATAGTATGGATAATAACTAAATATCAAGTAAATATGAATGTGTATAAGTATATATAGTATATATAATGTGTGAAGAATTATAATATGAATGTGTATAAGTATATATAAGTATATATTTATAAGTAGATAATTAATATATAAGTAGATATAATAATTATATAAATAATATGTATGTAAAAAGAATTTGGAGAAGATGAAGAATGAAGATGATTGAATTTGAGAGAATAGAGAATTAGAGAGTAGGAAGAGTTGTAGAAGAATATGTGTAAAAAATGTATAGAAAAAAGGAGTATAAATAGGTTTTTTTTTGTATACCCACCCCCACCCCCCAAACCCCCCGGACCCCCTTCCTATGCCTCCAACGGCTATAGAGCCGTTTGGGAACAGTCCCAACGGCTATAGAGCCGTTTGTGAAAAAGTTAATGAATTTACATGGTTGTAAATTTTTATTATATCTTTTATATGAATAGTAAAGTGCGCGTGGGGGCCACACCAAGAGCGGGGGCCACCCGATATTTTCGGGACCACATATTATATTAATCTTGATCTGGATAATATTTATATGATGGTGTATATTCATGTTAGACCATAATCAAGATTTTTCATGCGGGTACAAACATGTGACTATGTGAGGTGGCTTGTTATGGGGGCCAGGCCCTCCCACTCTAATACGTAGAAAAGTTGGAGAAAGTCCAGACAAGGGGTAATTTTACGGGTCTAATGTGAAGTAGAAGTGGTCCCTACCGTTCCATGTCAGGTGTAACTGTGCAAGCAAGATGACGTGTAGTTTTTCAAACAGATGTGTTTGTAGGCATGACCGCATGACCCCGATCCGCCTCGTGACTTCACTGGATGGATCCGCCCCGCCCCGTGACTTGCACAGGTCCAAATTTGTTGACCCATGACCCACCACAGGGGGGGCGGATTCGCCCCGACCCGACCCGTTGTAACCTAATTAGCTAGTATGCATTTCTAGTTGGGTGAAGTTGTTACCACTTGAATCTACATAAAGTTTATCTCTATAATTATAAAAAAAAAATAATATATTAAATCTAAGGCACAGTGCTCTAAAAATTTCAAAAGCAAGAGAAAGGCACTTAGACTTGAATAGTTTATCTTTTTATCTATTTATATTAATATTGAATATATAAATTAAAATGTTATATATAAAAAGACATTGATAATTCTTTGTTGATTTCATTCAAATCAATATTACTACCTCGGTCTCATTCAAAGTTTCTCGTCCACTATTCACATGGTCAACTTAAATCATTCTTAATCTTTTGCTTTATATATTAATTTTTTTATAAAATTTACATTTTTTATCAGACTTTATAGCGGTTTTAATGTAATTTCTGAATATGTAAATTTTATTTACTAAAAACAATCAGAGTGTGAACAAGGATTAAATTGTTTTATCGTCATTCAAACATCGTAAACCGTAACGGGGACCTCTCTATGGGATTGAGGGAGTATAAGACCAAAGAATTTAAGATTTATTAAATGCACATAAGTATGTAGAATTGTATGTGTAGTATAATTTTAAAATGTA